ACTAGCATGCAGTTCTATCATAATCATCAATAACAAATAACAGTGTGGGTAACTTGGGGTATACTTTCTTGCTCCGACTGATCGTACACATTTCGTCCTTCCTTGGTTACTTGTGAATACAATTTTTTTTGAAAATCATTTTGAAAACTTTTACAGATCCTTAGTTTGAGTTTGGATTCGCAAGAATGATCATCCAATTCTCTCGAACCAGGGCTCTGATACCAACTCGAAACATCCCAAAAATCAAGATAAAATTTTCATTTTTAAAAAAATCCTACCAAAGCCATAATTGTTTACAAAACATTGTTTCCAAAGATAATAGTCACATATCAGAGTTTCCTAAAATCAAATGTCATAAAATCAGTTGGATGTGCACGATCACGCCATTGCTTTTCCCCGATTATCTGAAGTACCTAAAACATAAAACTTAAACCGTAAGCCAAAGCTTAGTGAGTTCCCCCAAATACCACACAACAATACATATAAAAACACATATTGGGTCCACAATCTACTGGTTGGATTACCCCTGGACCACAACCTTCTGGTCGGATTGCTTTGGCCAACAACCTTTCGGTTGGATTGCCTAATACATACTGGGTCCACAACCTCCTGGCTAGATTACCCCTAGCCCACAACCTATCAGTTGGATTCCCCAGTTTGTTGACTGACAACAAAAAGCAGTACAGTCTCAACCCTACCAAACTATTTTGACATATAAAACATTTAAATTTCATAACAACAACTAGATAATCATGTAGATCTTTACAGATCACCATAGCATAGCAATAAACAAAAACAGAATACACAATCTACTGGGCCGACATTGGAGCCTTCGACCCACAAGTACAGTGAGGAAAACTCACCTCTCAGTATGAAAAGATAGCTAAGCACAACACAACTCTGTATACCAACTCTACAGGTCACCTTTACCACAAAATGTGACCTTGTCTCAAACTATGGTTCAAAATACCCAAAATGCCGCCTAGGTCAAACTTAGTTAAAGTCAACGGTCAAAAGTTAAGTCCAGGTCAACTACAGCAGGTTTCCACTCTGTGGCCATCCTTGGCCACACCGTGGCCACTATCCGATGAAACAAGCGGGCCTCGACCCAGTCGCCATGGTGGTGTCGGGCATGTGCAACTTCAACCATTAAGTAACTTTTCTTCAAAGTCCCTCATTCTAAAACGTTTCTAGCACCTTAAAATCAGATAAAAATCCATACTTTCCTGTCATTCATGTCCAATGTAGATCTTGGACTCTTATTAGGTCAAAATTGAGAAAAATGGCCAAGATCTCATGCAAGAGTTCAAAACTTTATAAAAATCCAGATCCAACACTTTTAACCATAAAGGGACTATAGGGATTCATAAAGTTGGCAACTTTGTGAAATCCCAACACTCCAATAAGTCCCAACATGAAGAATAAGGCATAGAAACCTATATCTATGCACAATAAACCAAAAAGATTGGAACTTAGGGACTTACAAGAGTTCAGAAGATGCACAACAAGATGATGAGAAGAGTTGCTTGTTAAATCCAAGTCTAGAAGTCACCTTCTTCTTCGTCTTCTTCTTTTTCTCCAAAACCAACACAAAAAGCTTAGAGAAGAAAAATGGAGGTTAGGGTTTGCTTGGAGGCTGAGAGAGTGTGGTGGAGGCTGAGTGTGAGCAACCCTATCCATCACATTCCCTTAAATTGGGCGCAAACCCCAGATATCAGGGTTTCTCATTAAACCGATGCCACGTCGTGGCCATAGGTTGCCATGCTGTGGCGGCATTAAATGAGATCGTAATATTCTTGAAGCGCCACGTCGTGGTGCCCTTGCCCACACAGTGGCCCTCCTTAAATACTTAGAATATTGAAATTTGAATTACCTTGGGATCCGGATGTTACAAATTGGGATTTGAAGGAAACAATACGATCAATATTGGTGTAGTGGCTCTAATTGGATGTATATGATTTGTTAATTTGTGTAATTGTAGGTGCAATGTGCTCATTTAAACAGTTACATGTTTTATTTTCATTATTATTTCTTACATTTAACTAATACAAATTGTGAATTATAAGTTAGCGTACAATGTTGCAGGTAGTTTTGTGATGGTTGATGATAGCAGGAAAGAAAAGCTTGTTGAGTCTTGAAGAAAAGTGGCTTGTGTTGTTCCTCAAGTTCTTTTCCATGAACAAGTTAGAGCATTACAAAAGTCTCCAGAATGATTAGTTTTTTTACTAGTGATATCAAAGTATTGAATATAAAAAATACTTAGTTGCAACTTATTTTATTAATGCATGCCGTAAATCTTTAAATCAGCCATTGTGGAGAAAAAAACTTTAACCAAGCATGAAAATGACTGTGAGGAGCTAGAGTCTAGTGAAGATGATAGGTTGCCTCCATTGGAAGCCAACACAGAAGACCTGCATAATTGCAGGGGAAAGGCTACTGATTTTTTTTATATGCTCTTATTTGGTACCACTGTTTTGACTTGATAATCGTAGCCGATTGCAACAAAGAAGAGGTGAGAAGGCAAAAAAAAAGTGGCTGATGCAGGTTATGATGATCGCTAAGACTCAATCTGCCATCGCAGCACATAAAAGGATTCATGCAATTTAGAAGGCAGGGGAATTATTGTCCATTTTGTTATTTGTTTCAATTTTAATGATTTTAAATTGTAACAAATGATTATTAAATAATAAAAACTATTTAAAAAATAGATTTGGACAAATTCGATATTTTAAAACATTATAAAGGGAAAATAAAAGTATATATGAAATTCTTCCTTTTTTTGTACACAATATACCATCAAACTTGTTGAACCTGTTCACATTTTACCCTTGTGAAACACTACCATACATAAAATGGTAATATCTGAACAGTTCAACAAGTTTAATAATATATAGTGTACAAAAGAAAAATAAATACTAAATGTGAAGAAAAAAAGAACCTCCCTCACCACCTCCAACCACCTCATCTACCACCAACACCTTCATAAATAAATGTATTAACTATGTAAATGTAAATGTATTTTTAAGTATTTTATATTTTTTTACATATTTTTTATGTAATTCTATTTATTATAAATGAATAAAGGTATTTTTTACGTATTTATTTGTATTTTTACAAATTTTTATATATGTTTTACATATTTTCAAATTTTTAAGTATACATAAATGTATTTTTTTAAGTACATATGTACTACGTGTGTGTATATATATATATATATATATATATATATATATATATATATATATATTTTGTAGGTGTTTATCTATATTTTAAGTATTTTTGCATAAAAAAAATTAAAATATACATAAATACGGTTATACATACAAAATACATAAAAATAAGTAAAAACACATAAAAATATATATGAAAATACTTAAGAAATACATAAGTACACAAAATAATAAAAATACATAGGATTGCGATAAACAATACATATAAATATGTAAAAAAGATGTTTATGCATTTAAAATACATAAAATACATAAAATAATATATAAATATACTTAAAAAAAATACATAAATACAATAAAATTTATATAAAAATACATAAATACATAAAAAAGTACATTTATATGTATAAAATACATAAGATATGTGATATATATAAACACACGCGCATATCGACTTAAAAAATACATAAATATATAAAAAAATATATAAAAATATTATATATATATATATATATATAATACATGTATACATTTAATATAGTTAGTTATGAAGTATTATAATTAATTATATTTTTAAATATAATTTTAATAATAATAATAATAATAATAATAATAATAATATGTGTATTAAAGGCTTTAGCATTTAAAGCATTATATACCAACTTTAAGGAGTAAATGTATGAAAATGTTTCTAAGTTAGTGGAAAGATGGTTGGTTTTGTGTGAGAGGTTGTGGGTTTGAATCCCACTTCCTCCCTTTCCCTATAAACTTTCGTTTTTTTTTTTTCTATAGAACAAGATGCTAACGTAGCATCTTTTTTTTTCTATAGAACAAGATGCTAACGTAGCATCGAAATCCATCCAGTTAGCATGCCATGTGGCATAGGTTACTTGTTGAAAATGTTAAAAGAGACTAGAGTGAATGATTTATCTGGTTTATCGGGGTTTTCTACTAAAAAATTGGGTCTTAAGCGTTCATTTTGCCAAAATAATGAGATTTTACTAGAACTTTCCCTGTATGAGATTACGGGTAAACAAAATAGCTTATAGAGTCAAATGATTAATTATACCTCTTATTTTATCCCACTTCAAAGACCCAACAACCAAAATAAGGTTTAGGTGACTCTACGGAGGACCCGATAATAAGCCGGACCGGTCATGTAACGTCCCATTTTCACAAAAAAAATTATCATTTTTTATTAAGGTAAAACTTCATAATTATAAATCCATTTTACGAAAACCATTTATTGCAAATTAAATTTATTGATGATGACGTGCCATAGGCACGAACGAGGAGTCGCGCTCAGAAGCGCCTAGTGGAACGAGCCTGACAGAACCCTGCACCCCTAAGACCAGGGCGCCCGCGGAGAAGGCTCGACCCCGCCAGGGGTGCCTCTACTTCGCGACAAAGTTTAACGACTCCAGGTGACAAGGAAGATGCTTAGAGCATTATCACATGAACCAATCATTGGCTCTGACAGATCAAGGAGCATGATTACACAATCAGCGTCCCTGATCCTGTCGGGTCTGACGCCTTTGTCCTGTATGGACTAGAAGAAGGCATCAGTATAAAAGTCCACCTTCGGTGCCCTAAAAAGTAAGTCGATCTCTCCCAGTTCACTCTTGAATCACCCAAGTCTATCCACTGACTTGACCGTCAGAGCGTTTTCCCGGGAGCCTCCTCCTGGAGAACGGCTGACGGTTTCCTCTCATTGTGACCTTGCAGACTCATCAAAACAATCAGAGGCTTAAGGCGTAATCGTTTGGTAGCCAGGTCGTATCATTTGGCGCCATCCGTAGTGTGACGAACAACAAACCAAAAGCACACTCCTCAACACTCGAAGATAGCATCCAGCGACATCGGCGGGGCTGGTGGGATACCGACAAGCCCCATCAGATATATGATGTCGTTGGAACCAGTTATCACTCCACTTCTCACACCAGTTACCGGTGGAGCATCACAACAGGACGACCCAACGATGACCACTGCTCCAACAAACGAATTATGGAGGCCGACCACCGAAGAACCAATTTCCTCCACCGCCGTAATGGCACAAAGCTCCTCCACGCAAATACCATAGCTGACGGTGATCTCAAGCAGCACAACACCACCAACGATGGACAACATCAGTAGCATGTCGGTTATCTCACAAACACCAATGTTACACCAAATGGCGAGAGAACAACCAATGGTTTTCCAAACACCTCCATTTGTGAAAAAGATGCCTTTAAATACCACAATCCCACAATATCCACCATTCATGTCAAACAACTCACTCGCACCAAACCCACCCCTTTTGTCAACCCAAACATTCACCTTGTCGTTCCAACAACAAACCTTTTACGGCCCAAACCCCGGGCACCTCTCGGCGTACAACAACATGCTAATGTAACCATAACTCACCACCCAACAGTATAACACACAAGGTGTGTTCTCCATCGTCAATCAAGATTGCTTATCACGAAGTGTAACATCCCCGTTTGCCAAGGAGCTCCTAGAATACGAAATCCCAAATACAACAAAGTTACCACACCTCAAGACGTACAATGGAACTATAGACCCAAATAGCCACATCGATACTTATGAGTGGACGATGACCTCGTTAAAACTAGATTAGCGATTATGGTGTACGTATTTCCCGACAACCTTAGATGGCAACGCAGGAACGTGGTTCAAGACGTTACGGCTGGGGAGCATCTACAGTTTTGGCCAACTAAAGTATCTCTTCTTGACAAATTTCATGAAACTGCGTAAATACAAAGGAGATTCACACTCAATAATCAGTTGCAAATAAAAGGAAGGAGAGACAGTGCAAAAATACTTTACCAGGTTCACTAATGCCACATTAGACGTCCCAGGCCATGACGAAGGGTTAACAACAGGCGCCTTCACGTTGGGCCTCCTCCCAAGACCGCTGTCCCAGAAGCTCATGTGGAAGAAACTCCAGATACGGGTTGAGCTAAAAGAGAACGTAGAACGCTATCTGAGATAAGAGGAAGGAGTGGTAACGAAGCAAGCATACTTGAACACCTTGACCCCCTCATCCAAAAAGCATCACAACTCACCATCGCATCACCCAGAAACCCTAGGCGGTGGCAGAGACTTCGGATGAGGAAAGCGCCCGCAAGGACGCTTTAGGCCATTCCAAAGAGATGAAAGAGGAGGCAGACAGATAGACGTCTATGCAGTCTCTAATAAGCAACCAGTGAAAGGAGGAAAGGGATAGTAGTGTGAATAACATAAGAGCAAGACACACAACACCATCAACTGTTCAGTATTAAAAAGGGAAATGGAGGAGAAACAACTAAAGGGAAACCTGATAGAGGTAGCGCAGAGCCTCCGGGCAAAATTTAATGCCGAGAATGCCAAGGATGTAGTAAGGGAGTGTGACCAACCTCACAAAATCCTGATGATCAGGTAAAAGCAGGGTAGGCAGGAAGAACACAGAGGCGTAGACACTCTCACCAGATCCATGCAAGGCTTAACGTTTTCAGCAAAAGATCCCCGACCGGCAGGCAGGCGAGGAGACGACCCACTCATAATCCAAGGTTCCATCATAGATATTACTATCCACCGGGTGTACATTGATACCGGAAGTTCAGCAGATATTATCTACGAGCATTTTTTCCATTTCCTCCTGGACAGGTGGAAGGAAAGCCTCAAACTTGCAACGGGGCGGATAACAGGCTTCACGGGGCACAACCTGTGGCCCCTAACAAGATCCACCCGACTTTCATGCTGATAAGTCATGACAAAGCAAAGAAGAAGACAACCCTTATAGATTTTGTCGTAATACGACACCCGACAGAGCACAACATCAATCTTAAACGGACAGCCTTACTCAAATTCGGTGCAGTCCCGTCGACAATGCATGGAATAATAAAATTCAGTAGAGCGGCAGGACCGGGGACGGTCTTGGCAACGCCGCCAAGAGAATTATGATGTTATGAAATCATGCAGCTGAAAGAGATCATGCAGGAAAGAAAAGGGTCACGGGCGGAGCCAACAAGCGGCAATGAGATCATCAACAGGGAATACCCGGACCAACCAGACGGCATAGGTGGCAACCTCCCCCCGAAGACGAGACAGGCATTGATTAATCTATTAAGGAAATACAAGCATGTCTTTCCCTGGACTTCTACGGATATGGTAGGAGTAGACAGGGAGGTCTTAGAGCACAAAATTATTATCAAACCGGGTGCCAAAGAAATCAAACAGAAAAAGCGATTCCAAGGGGGAGACAGGAGTAGGTCAATCAACGTCGAGGTCGTCAAGCTAACCAAAGCGGGAATACTCCGAGAAGCAGTCTTCCTGACCTGGATCGCGAATCCTGTCATGATTAAAAAGCACGACGACATGTGGCGCATGTGCATCGATTACTCCGATCTAAACAAGGCATGCCCTAAAGACTGCTACCCCTACTAGAAATCGATCAAAAGTCGAATCCCTGCAGGGTTTCAGACTAAAATGCTTCCTAGATGCATACGAGGGGTACCACAAGATCTTGATGACCAAATTAGAAAAAGAGAAGACAACCTTCTACATGGACCATGGGGCTTTCTGCTACACCAAAATTTCATTCAGCTTGAAGAATGCAGTAGCGACCTACCAACGCCTCGTCGACTCTATATTCGCCAAGCAAATCCGAAGAAACATCGAGGTATACGTTGACGACATGGTCATAAAAATCCCAGATGATAGGAGATTACTGGAAGACGTAGAAGAAACATTCAAGACATTGGAAAAGGTCAAGATGAAGTTGAACCCAGGGAAGTGTACATTCAGTGTCGAGGAAGGCCAATCTTGGGATATTATGTCACCACGGAAGGAATACAACCCACAAACCAAAGTGGACGAGCTGATGGAAGTGCTGTCCCCACATACTCTGAAGGACGCCCAAGGGTTGAATGGAAAACTGATTGCTCTAAGCCGTTTCATCTCCAAGTCAAAGGAGAAATCCATGCCACTTTTCCATACTTGTAAAGGATGCATTGAAAAGAGCAACTTCCAATGGAAGCTGGCATCAGAAACAACACTCCAGCAGATTAAGGAAGCTCTACACAAATTACCCACACTGGCCAGCCCCGTTCTGGGTGAAATGCTACAGGTATACCTCTTAGCCTCGGACGAATCCATCTCTTCGGCACTGGTAGTCGAAAGGGAAGGAAGGCAAGCGCCGGTCTACTTGTCAGTCGAGCCTTGCAAGGCCCAAAAACCAACTTCCCATCCTTGAAAAATTGGTGCTCGCACTCATCTACGCAGCACGGCGCTTGATGCGTTACTTCCAAGCACATCATATAGAGATATTGACAAACTGCCCGATCAAACAAATATTACTAAAACCAAAAATGTCCGGAAGATTGGCGAAATGGGAAATCAAACTGGAGGAACATGACATTAGCTACCACCCATGTACCAACATCAAGGGGCAGGTGTTGGCAGATTTTCTCCTTGAGATTCCAGGCGAAATGAAAGCAGCCGCTCTGAAGAAAGAGCTACCAGGTCCAGGCCAGCCAAAGGATGCCTAGAGGTGGACCCTATACATCGATGGGGCATCAAGAAAAGAGGGATCGGGAGCGGGCCTGATCCACACAAGCCCAGAGGGGGAAGAGATCACCTACACCCCCCGCTTTGATTTCCATACCTATAACAATGAGGCCGAGTACGAAGCCTTACTCGCCAGCCTGCGACTGGCAAGACAGATGGGCGCAGACACGATAACAGCCCTGACGGATTCAAGGTTAGCAGCTAACCAAATCAATGGAGAGTTCGAAGCAAGAGACAAAAGAATGGAGAAATATGTAAAGGCCATGAAAAGGCTCGTCAAACCCCTCAAAGAGTTCACCATTAAGTAAATTCCAAGAGGGGAGAACAGAAGAGCAGATGCCCTCAGCAAGCTAGCATCGACATGCTTCAACCACCTGTCCAAAAAGATTTTTGTAGAAGTACTCAAAGAAAGGAGCATAGATGGGCGACAGGTACACACTTTCACACCAACACATCATACATGGATGACACCGATAGTCGAATATCTGCAGCACGACATCCTGCCAGATAACTATGAAAAAGCTAGAAGAGTACGAATTAAAGCACCATCGTATACAATCATAGAAGGAGTACTATACCGGAAAGGGTTCATGACGTTGTGGCTAAAATGCATAGATAAAGCCAGAGTTAAAGAAGGACTTCGAGAACCCATTCCGAAGTTGGTGTGCTGAGAAAGGGATTGAGCAACGGTTCACATCAGTAGCGCACCCCCAGGCTAACGGTCAGACCGAAGTATCCAATAGAACATTGGTAAACGGTATCAAGAAACGCTTGGGGAGAGATAAAGGCAATTGGGTCGAAGAGCTACCAGGAGTACTCTAGTCATACAGAACAATGCCAAGAAGGAGCACGAAGGAAGCGCCCTTTAGCCTAACTTACAACACATAAGCAATGTTGCTGGTAGAACTAATAGTTGGCTCACCCCGTACGACCTACTTCGAAGAAAAAAACAATGACAAAGACCTAAGGGTAAACGTGGACCTCATTGAGGAGAAGCGTGAGCGGTCGAACATCCGCCAAGCGGCCTATAAAAATGCCATTGAAAGATACTACAGCCAGAGAGTCAAAGAGAAAGCTTTCAAGATAGGAGATTATATCTTAAGGCGAAACGAGACAACCAACACCCAGCCACAAGGAAAGCTAGGCCCCAGATGGGAAGGACCATATAAGATGATCGAGGCTGCAACGACGCATATGTGCTCGAAACAATGAAAGGAAGGCAAATCCCAAGAAAATGGAACGCCACGAATCTAAGGAAGTTTCATTTCTAAAAAGGAACTCATCACCCGGGCTGATCACACCAGGGGACTTTCGATACCCAAGGCTTAGCGTACCTTGCCCTTCACTTCACTTTCTCTTCATGCAAAAACAAAATACTTAGCGTATTTGTATGGCTTAGAATAGCCATTTTATCTAAATACTCTATGTATTTATAGGGATCACAATATCCATCTTATTATAAATACTCAGTGTATTCTTAAGGCTAAGAACAACCATTTCATTGAAGTACTTGGTGTATTTATCAAAATAGTCTATTTCAATACTCAGTGTATTTCGTAGGCTCGAGATAGTCATTTTATTAAAATACTCAGCGTATTTTTTGGGCTCAGAATAGCCATTTCATTATAATACTTAGCGTATTTGAAAGGCTCAGAATAGCCAGCCTATCAAACAAACGAAAAGATTGTCTTAATGCTCAATACGCCTGCTAGATC